ATGTTTTTACATAGGGAATTTTGGGTATCTCTTTTTGTCACTCCATAATTCAGAAAATACTTTGAACAGCCAGAAAACAATATATTTTCACAATTTTTGGGGAAATAAAATGTTGTATATAATCAAGCAAATTATATATGAACAAATCCCTCTGGAAAAACCTTCAGGATATAGACAGGAATAAAAATGTAAAGTTTGGTGTGTGTGTAAGTGCTACTGAAGTGGAGATTTATGGCTCAGTTTAGGAGAAAAAACTCATTTTGAGAAAACGGCCTTTAAAAATATGTATTGTAATTGAAATCTATTGACACAAATAGATAAAGTGCTATAAAAGAAACACTTAACAGTGTCTTGGATGTTTTCTTTCCACTATTCTGAAAAAACACGTTATGAAAAGCCAAAAAGCCCAAAATCTCAAAATTGACAGGTGCATGAAAAAGCAGTGTCTCCCCTTAACCAGCCAAAATTCAATTTAAATGTGCTGTCCAAATGTAAAACAAGTTATACATAGTGTAATTTGGTAGTGAGGTTGTGGCAAATGCTTTGGTAGCAACCACATCACATTACAGAATTTTAACTTCTGAGTCTGTTCTAAGTTTAGTAGCAGGGGCAAACTCATTGTGTTCTTTGCATTTGTGGTGACAAACATTCAGTCTTGAAGTGCGATCAGATGATATGAGTGCATCTGGGCAGATATTGAGCCTCTCTCTGTACAGCCGTAGAATATGGCGATCGTCTCTGCCAAGGAATGTGTGAGCCTGATGAATGCTTTGTAAAAAATACTGTATAGGGCTGTAACACTGATTGGCTGTTCTGAGTTTATGCTTGTTTGCGTTGATTTAAGGTATCTTGTGATACTTTTTAGTTCTCACTAGCTTTATTCTCTCTGTCTCTCAGCTGGAGTATACCGCTCGTCTGGACTTCCTATGGCGTGTACAGGCAAAGGAAGAGATAAATGAGATGCGAGAGCTGCGTGAACACAATGAGAAAAGCCCAAAATCTCAAAATTGACAGGTGCATGAAAAAGCAGTGTCTCCCCTTAACCAGCCAAAATTCAATTTAAATGTGCTGTCCAAATGTAAAACAAGTTATACATAGTGTAATTTGGTAGTGAGGTTGTGGCATCTTGCTCAAGGGCTCGGCATCAGCTTAAAACAGTGGGAGGAATGGATGAGAAGTCTGCCAAAAACCTGATGCTTTTAGCAGAACGATGATCCCAAAGCCACATTACATTTTTTATTAACTTACTGGAGTGGCTCAAAAACAAAAATGTGAAGAACCTACAGTGGCCTTGTTAAAGACTAGTATAATTCAAATGAGAATATTGCACTGTTTAAAAATGATGGTGCACAAATCTGATTAACCTAAACAAACCAGAGCAAAAATGCATGGAGCAATGGGCCAAAATCACACCTACAAAAATATACAAAAGCACTTATAACCTAAAAAATTTTGTCATTGCTGCAAATGGATGGCATTATAAATAGTAAGATGTGGGGATTTAATACTTGTGCAAATATCATACTATAGTCTTTTACATTAAATTAAGAATATTTTTAATGATAAACTTATATAATGACATTTTAAATAAATGTTGTAAAGTATTTGTACTTTTTTTCTGATTATGAGTTATTTTCCACATTTAAGAAGAAAGTGCACCTCTCTGCATCTTTCCTGTCATTGATTACCTACAGATGCATTCCTCTTCTGGTTGCTAGGATTTTTGTGTGCCTTTTTTTCCCAGTGACTGGATTGTGTTTGCTGAGTGTGTATTTGCGATTTATCTGCCTAGTATTGCTGACAGTTATTAGATATACCTATTTTTTCTGTCTCTCTCTTCTTTGAAACTTAAAGCCTTTTTTATTTTCTTTAGTCTTTGTTTTATATATATATATATATATATATATTATAATTTCAGAATGGATCTGGGTGTCACACGCCTTTAGTCTGACAGGAAAAGCATGGCAGCGCTTGTATGAATACAAGAGTATGAATCACTGCCACTTTCACTCTCTCTGCTCTTTGTGCTTTTTTGGCATGACAGGCAACTTTTTGTAAGCACTTTGCAGCTGCAGAAGTTAAACAAATCAATAATTAATATACATGATAAATCAAGAACAAAAGTAAAAAATAAAATATGGGGGGTTAAACACTGTACCAACACTGTAAATAATTTTTGTTGTTTTTACAGTAAATCACTGTATTCTCAACAGTTCCCTACTGTGCAATTTGCATACAGTGTTACTGTGAATTTTGTTGTTTTCACAATATTATTACTGTATTCTCAGCAGTTTACTACTGTATACGCTGTATTACAGTATGCCATTGTAGATTTTCAATGCATTCTGGAAAAAAATTCCTACTGTAAATTTAAATACAGTAGTACCAAATGACCGTGAAAACAACCACACACCTCCTCCCGCAGCGGCTCTGTGACAGACTTATCGTGAAGATGAAAGCCCACAAGAGAGTAGGCTATGGTAGGTTAATTTTCATTTTCGACTTTTTAATCACTTTTTGTACGTTTTATTCTGATGTTGTTTGCAAGATAAAGAGTATCTGAGCGAACGCTCAGTTTCCAAGTCAAACTGCGTTAACTGGGCTTTTCCTCCCGCAGCGGCGCTGGCAGACCGATGGGGAGACTCGTCGTGAAGACGAACGTGCTAAGAGTACTTTTTTTATACTAAAAGTATACACTTTTTCATCATCTTGTACATATTATTTTAATGTAACTTGTTCACTTTTCCAGTAAAACTGTGCTAACTAGTATTTTCCTCCCGCAGCGGCGCAAGCAGACCAGTGGGGAGACTCATGAAGACGAAAAGCCATACGAGTATGTTCATTTTGTAAGTCATTTAAAACACATGCATTCACCTTATTTGTTTTATACCAATGCAAGGTATAAATACGTTTGAGTTAATAAATGTCTGTAAGAACATTGGAGCGGGTGCTAATTTCCCAGTTAAGCCGTGCTAACTAGCTTTTCCCTCCCGCAGCGGCGCAAGCAGTGCGGCTGGACCATTGGAGACAGCCGGGAAGAGTCGTCACCATAAAGAAGAACGTTTTAAATGTTTTGAGACGATATGAATTCTCTGATTATTGTTGTATAATGTCACAAATTAAGTACTTTAACACTTAAAACTTTAATTTTTATATTTCCACCATTTATTTTTCACTTGCACAATATGTTACTGTGATTTTAGGTTATAATTGTATTTTGTTCATTGATGAAATATGGTTAATATGCTGTTAATTCTGCATATTTTATTGACGTTCAGCTCTGAAATGTAAAAGATGAAGCCTGAATAAAGCTGTTGGTGTGAAGCAATAACTTAAAATAAAAATAACATTATAATGCTGTACTTTGTTTTTACAGTACTGTTAAATCTACTGTACTTAGTTTTACTGTTGTACAAAATACAGCAACTACTGGATAATTGTTGCCAGTAAGTTACTGTTAATTTGACAATAAACTTTTTACAATGAAACGTACAGGTAAAGTCTGTAACTCTGTTCCAAAATCTAGTGAGCTCCCTAAATAGACAGCATCCTTACCATCACAAAACCTCATTAGTGGTAAGTGATCTGGAATGTTCTGCATAGGTAACAACTCCGTATACTACACCAATAGACTCCCTTCTGATTTCAGTTGAATGTGACTTTAGCATGATGGTTTATCGTATTTAAAATTCATAAATACACAGAGAGCACACATAGATACATTTTAATACTTTTATTCAGCAAGGATGTATTCAATTGATCAAAAGTGACAGTAAAATCGTATAATCTTACAAGATTTCTATTTCAATGAAATGCTGTTACTTTCATCAAAATCTAATATTAAGATATTAAGCAGCACATCTGTTTTAACATTGATAATGTGACTTGAGCCCCAAATCAGCATGTTAGAATGATTTCTGAAGGATGTGACACTGAAAACAGGAGTAATGATGCTGAAAATTCAGTTTTGCCATAAAACATTACAATTATAATAATATTTCACAATATAACTGTTTTGTTTTTTTTTGTATGTTTATTAAATAATATTTTAGAAAATCTACCTTTATATTCCCTGATTGAACATAAAAAATACAATTCCGGTCAATTTTGTTGTTCTTGCAACATAGTTTATCTTCTGGTAGCCATGTTTTTCTTTAACTAGTTTTTCTTTTCTTTCTTTCTCTCTTTCCCTCCTTCCTTCATTTCTTTCTGTCTTTCTTTCTTCCATCCTTCCTTTCTTAATTTTGTAAAGGCAGCCTGTGTGTGTTTGTGCTCTCTTGTCCTGACGTGACTTCTGGACATTTTATTTCTGGAATGTTCCGCTGTCAGTCAATCAGACAATAGGGAGGCTAAATAATAGAGCTGTATAACTCACAGATAAAAAAATGCATCCATTAAGCCTATGTGTGTGTGTGTGTGTGTGTGTGTGAGAGAGAGAGAGAGTGTATTGAGTTACTTTAATTATCCCATTCATTTATAATCAGATGGAGTATTGAGGCATGATGTAACTGCTGACGCTAAATGTGTGTGTGTGTGTGTGTGTGTGTGTGTCTGCACTTGAGTGTGTGAACTATAATTTACGTCACTCTCTGCTATTATTAAGATGAGAAAATTATCCCTCTCCCTCATACACACACACATACACCGTCTTGCTCGCAAAACCTGCCACTCTTAAAGGGCACTGCAGTAATTTATCTCAGTGACTAACACTTAAGTGTATAATTACCTGGTTTTATACACTTGTCTTTAGCAGTCACTGACTTTTTATACGTATGATCGCTCAGCAGTACTTGCGTGCAGTGATGACATCAAGCATCAGTGGAGCGTATCAGTGCAGTGCTGAATATTTCAGGGTGTATTGAGAGAGTTTAACATCCTCTAATATCGGCCATGCTGTTGACCAGAGCTCCCTCTTTAAACTGCAAAGTAGTTAGAGCAGTGGCCTTGTGGTTTGCACACATTACACCTCAAATATTGTACATAATTAGTCACACACTCAATCTGAATTGCACACTTAATTTGAAAGGTGTGGTAGATGTGTATGTTGTGGTATGTTATGTAGCGCTTGTGAGGTCTGTGCATAACCATGTATATATGGGAAGTGTCTATAAGCTATGCCTTTTTTTTTTGCCACTGCCACACTTATTTGCTGCATTAATTCTATATAAAAGTATTATTATATTATATTATTAGAATCGTATTTATAAAATATGATATGTTAATATATAATAATTTATTAACATCTGTTGCATAATATAATTCATAACATTTTATAATATATGTGAACCATTTGTTTTTATTGTTTTATTGGCATTATATATCAAATATCAACTTTGTCAGCAGTGTTATTTTAGTATCACTGAGAAACTATTACAGTTTTTAATATTTTTAATTAATTTTTATATTATCCATTTGATTTTTAATGAAAGTTTTAGTTAAAATGTTAGTAATTTGGTTGTGTGTTTTTGTCATTTTTATTAGTTTTTGTAAATATATCTGTAGTTTTTCATTTTTATTTCAAGTTTAGTTTTAGTTATTTTAGTTAATCAAGTTAAACTAAATGAAAATGAGAAATGTTGCCTTGGCAACATTAATTAATTTGCAATTAAATGGAAAAAAATATATATGTTTTTTGTATGGTGTATGTGTTTTATTGGCATTATATATCAGATTTCAGCCTTATCATATGCATCTGTTCTGCCCTCTGTTCTTACGAGTCGAACAAGTGTGTTAGTTATAAAGCAACACTGCCCTCTAGTGGAGAGTTTTAAAAAGTCAACCCATGCTGCATATGCCACATGCACTGTATTATTGTTCTGAAGTTCATTGGACCCACATTTCTGTATGTTTTCACATGTGTTGTTTTAAAGCTCATTTGTATCTCAATCCAGTGAGGAGGTTTCTAATGTGTCATCTCCATCCGTAGGAGCTCTACTCGCAGTCCTATGATGCGGTGGGAGTGATGTTCGCCTCCATTCCAGGCTTTGCTGATTTTTACTCGCAGACTGAGATGAATAATCAGGGTGTGGAGTGTTTGCGGCTGCTCAACGAGATCATCGCTGATTTTGATGAGGTCAGAATTCTACCAGCATAAACATACACATATTTAAAGGCATAGTTCATAAATAAATTACAATTCTGTCAATATTTACTCACCCCATGTTGATCCAAACCCATTCAATAACAGCTAATCATGACAAAAATGACAGCGTGTACAGGTTTGTCATGAAATGAGGGTAAGTAAATAAGGACAGAATTGTCATTTTGGGCTGAACTATCCCTTTTATATTAATGATTCTCTCTAAGACACACGGATCCATCACACCTGCTCAGAAGCTGCTGATGAATGTTTAATGCTACATTTGTAGGCTGTCATATCTGAAAGATTGTCTCTGTACAGCTGTTGGGGGAGGAACGCTTTCAGGACATCGAGAAGATAAAGACCATCGGCAGCACATACATGGCCGTGTCAGGACTGTCTCCTGAGAAACAAGTATGAAAACACACACACATACACCTACAGAAACCTATACACTCACTCATATTAAAGCAGATATTATCTGATGTCTTATAAGCTTGTAGTTTGTGCACTAATCATTCTATATGTCTGTGTTACCATAGCAATGTGAGGATAAATGGGGGCATCTGTGCGCGCTGGCTGATTTCGCCATTGCTCTGAATGAAAGCATTCAGGAGATCAACAAACATTCGTTTAACAACTTCCAGCTCAGAATCGGTAAGAATCAAATGATTCAAACAAATACTTTCGAAAAAACCTTTGAAAGTGAGAATTGAGCGCAACAGTGACTGCCCACTTTTTGATTCCGGGAGTATTTTTCCAGTTTGTTTTCTCCATAGACATTTTTAATAAAGTTTCAAAGCCATGAATCCAAACCAACTCTAAGATGATTCACAACATTACGACATTTGAAAAAACAACAGAAAAAATATATATTTTTGATGGAATTTTTATTACAAAATATTATTACAAAAGATATTTGAGGTTGTAAGGAGACTCGATTGTGTAATTTGCAATGCTTTGTGGGAGTGGGCAGTCACTATTCCTGTTTCCATGGTTACTTCTCTAACTGGTCAGTGTCCTTTCAGGATCATGGGTAATGGAGTTCTTCACCATGTGATTTATTTTAAAATCATGCTGAAAACATTTTTATATTATTAGTAGTATTAGAATTAGTATTAGTATTAGTATAATTTTTTATCTCAGGTGCACCTAAAAATGTAAATTATAAGTTTTATCTTTATGTAGACTGCCATTCAAAAGTGCAAATGGTCAGTAAGATTTTATTTTTAAGAAATTAATGCTTTTATTATGCATTAAATTGGTCAAAAGTGACAGTAAAAACATTTATAATGTTACAAAAGATTTCTATTTCAAATAAATGCTGTTCTTTTGAACTCTCTGTTCATCACAAAATTTCTGACTTAAAAATAATAAGCAGCACAACTATTTTCAACCAATAATGATAAGATGCGATGTTTGCCGAGAACCAGCATATTAGGAGGATTTCTGAAGGATCATGTGACACTGAAGACTGGACTAATGGCTGCTGAAAATTCAGCTTTGCCATCACAGGAATACATTTTATTTTAAAATATATTCAAATAGAAAACAGTCATTTTAAATTCTGATAAGTTATTTATCCTGTTTGTCTACTCCTTATCGCTTTCTAAATATGTTTAATAGTTTATTTACCTATTTTTTTAGCTAATTCTACTCTGTTCTTACCCCCAAAAATAGGCTGTCATGGCATAAAAGAGTCTAATAAATAAATAAATAATAATTCTAAAGAAGCCCCACACTCAGGTCTGTCTTAAAAGATTTATTTATTATCACCAAAAATCAGTGTTTTTCTGATGAAAATTACTTTCTTCATAGCCCTCTATTAGAAGGCTTAAATGTAGGTTGGAGCATTTAGCCTTTTTAACAGTGAGATGTGCTGATGCTGGCGCTGTGCTCTCCTCTCTCCTCAGGTATGGCGCATGGCTCTGTGGTGGCTGGAGTGATTGGCGCTAAAAAGCCGCAGTATGATATTTGGGGGAAGACAGTCAATCTGGCAAGTCGCATGGACAGCACAGGTGTCAGCGGAAAGATCCAGCTCCCAGAGGAGACCTACGGCATCCTGAACGAGCGCGGCTTCGCCTTCGAGTACCGAGGCGAGATCTACGTGAAGGGAATCAGCGAACAGGAAGGCAAGATCCGCACGCACTTCCTGCTGGGCCGCGTGCAGCCCAACCCGCTCATCCTGCAGCCGAGGAAGCTCACGGGCCAGTACTCGCTCGCCGCCGTGGTGCTCGGCCTGGTCCAGTCCCTCAACCGGCAGAAACAGAAGCAAATCCTCAATGAAAACAACAACTCAGGCATCATGAAGGGCCACTACAACCGCAGAACCCTGCTGGCGCCGGGCGGCTCGGACACCAACCACGCCGAGGTCACGGACAAGAGCGAGCTGGCCTAGAGGACGGGGAAAACAAACTGCGTACTTAACCAAAAGACTGAGCTGTACTTCAGACTGCTGTCACTGACTGTCTCTCTTGCTTTCTGTGTTTCTTTTTGTATTTCTTTTGTATTTGAGAAACAATAAAGGGGTTTAATTTTTTTATAAAGTAATGGGCTTCCTTTAAATAAAGGTCTGTATGTTTGATCGTTTACATTCATGCCGATGCCTTCACGTTATGTCGGAATTATTGTAACTCGTCCCTAAACCCATATTTTATTCAACACTTATAACCATAATGGTCCCATTTGCAGCTTTTTTGAGTTGTTGACAGCAAAATATTTAATCTTATAAATTGTTTATCAGTTTGTTTAAGAACAAATAAATCACATTAGGAGGTCAAGACATTCAAAAAAAAAATTCTAACTGGTTGCTAGGGTGTTCCAAAAGGTTGCTAGGCTGTTAGCTGATTGCTTGGAATTTCTAGGGTGTTCTACCTGGTTGCCAAGATGTTCTGACTGGTTTCTAGGGTGATCTAGAAGCTGCAAAAAATAGCTTATCAAGCACAGTAATTATAGAGGTATCTAAATAACTTCAAATGTTTAGGCTGCTGACATTTTGGTTATTTTTTGACACGACAGTCAAGTCACGTTTTTGTTTTTTCCTTTTTTTATTTTTGTCATCAACTGCTAATTACGAAAAACCCGACATAACGTGAATAGCCTGCTTTATAAAAATATTCCAGAATGCACTTTTATTGTTTTGTCTATATTAGGAAAGTTGCAATTTTGCACGAAGCAACTGATGCCGAGTTAAGGTATGTTATAACAGATTCCTTTCTCAGTCTACACTTTTACAAATGTTTTTGCCTTTTGTTTAGCTCCATATGTTTATATATCTAGATACACTAAAACAAGCATAAACACCTGGATTATATGTCTTATTACAGATACAGAGTGCTTTTACAGATAAAGAATGAACTGAGGGTATATAACTTATGCCTCAATACGAACAAGCGAGAACGACGATTGTCAAGGATTTTCCAATGAAGGTATGTGAAGTGTTCATCAAAGCTGGCAGATTTTTTGACTGCTTCTTTAAATGAGGTTGGGCATAGCCTTAAGTTAATAAAATTATTTAAGTTATATAAATTTTTAGTACATGTAGTTTTATATTATTTCTGTGTGTGTATATATATATATATATATATATATATATATATATATATGCAAGTATGTCTAAAAAAATTTTTTTTTACACATAAAGGTGACAGTGCAGGTCTGTCCTTTAGAGGGCGAATATATATATATATATATATATATATATATATATATGCAAGTATGTCTAAAAAAATTTTTTTTTACACATAAAGGTGACAGTGCAGGTCTGTCCTTTAGAGGGCGATATTGACCTCAATATTAGTTGTGCCTGCCCTGCACCAGTTTAAATGACTGAAGAAATACAGTGAGTGAATTTATGTGCATGTGTTGTAGAATTTCTTTCTTAACAGTAGTAAATTGTTAATAGTAGTAAAGAAAATTTTAATTAAATAGTAGAATTTATTTTTTTATTTGTTAATTATTTATGTAATGTTTCAACTATTGTTTTTTTTTCTTCTTCTTTCTTCTTCCCACTCTCCTTACGTAGGTGTCGTCTCCATGGAAACAGATCTCCTGATCTTGTCAGTCGGACATGATTCTTCCGACTGTATTTCTGACGGGTGGGCGGGGCTAATTAATCACATCACTCCTGTCACACTCTTGACAGCCAATCAGGGATGTTGTGATTCTCGGCGCTGTTTTATTTAACTGATGAATAAAATTGAATGGAGGTAGTTGCCATGGTGAACAGTGCAAAGCTCTGATATTGGGGAAACAGACAGAGATAGAAGAGGGGATGAAATTATCCTTCAAAGATCAAAGAGTTAAAACGCCTGAAAACTGGCACAAATACGACCTCAGCTGTGGCACTGTAGGGTGTGTGTGTGTGTGTGTGCGTGCGTGCGTGCGTGCGTGCGTGCGTGCGTGTGTGTGTGT